AACATGTATTTTATCTGCTGCCCTTTTTGTAAGTCAGTATAGACCTAGATGCAATATGCTTCTTGAATTGGCAAATAAGAGCTTTATGTTGCAGTATGTTTGGGAAGTGCTTCATAGTTTTTATAAACCAATGTATTGAGATTCACCTCGTTTGGGATTCTTTTGTAGTGAATAATACCAATACCTTATTATTCACAGTGTAGTGAAAGATGAAAGCAAGTAAACTGAACATTTGGTCAATGTGTCAAAATGCCTGTTGGTGCAGCTTAAGCAAAAAGAGAAGGTGGTGGCATCAGCTAGAGTGCCAGGGAATTCCAAGTGTGCCCCTCCCCCAACATCACTAGATGCCTCTAGGATTGGGCTGAGATAGGAAGGGGCAGAAAAGTTCCTTCTTAAAGTTCCTACCGTCTATCACACTGTCAGAATGGCTCCGATAAAATATATCAACAAATACAAGTGCAGGAGAGGATGCAGAGAAAAAAGAACACTAGTGCATTGTTGGGCTGTAAATTGGTGCAGCCACTATGGAAAACAGTATGGAGGTTCCTAAAAAAACAATTAAAAATAGAACTACCATAGATCCAGCAATTCCATTTCTGGGTACTTTTCCAAAGAAAACAAAAACACTGATTTGAAAAGATATAGGAACCTTTATGTTCATTGCAGCTTTAGTTACAATAGCCAGGATATGGAAGCAACCTAGGTATCCACCGATAGATCCTATATAATAAATATGGAATGTGCAAATGGACCTTACACTGTGAAGAGTAATTACCAACTGGGTAACGACCAGATCACGGATCAGCAGGAGGTGGGGCAGCGAACTACAAGCGGGTGGTGGAGAGCTATGGAGAGGGCAGGGCAGCAAGTTATGAGCCGGGAGGAGCAAGGGGAGCTACTGGAGGGCAGCAGCAAGCTTCTGGCGCATTGATTCATGCGCAGGGCTACTAGTAAATGAATAAAGATGTAACGTATTGTATATAAAATATATTATATATAATGGAATGTTATTCTTTCTGAAAAATGAGATCTTGCCATTTGTGACAACATGAATGGACCTAGAGGGTATTGTGCTGAAATACGTTAGACAAATACAGTATGATTTTACTTATATGTGAAATTTAAAAAGCAAGCAAATAAAACAGATTCATAGACACTGATAACAAACTTGCCAGAGGTGAAGGAATTGGAGGGGCAAAAAAGGTGAAGGGGATTAAGAGGAACAAAATTGCAGTTATAAAATAAGTCAAGGAGATGTAATGTACCACATAGGGAATATAGTAGTCAATACTGTAACAACTGTACAGTGACGGATAGTTATAAACTTATTGTGTACTTTACAAGGTGTATAAGTATTGGTTCACTAAGTTATACACCTGAAGCAATATAATATTGTATGTCAACTATACTTAATATAAAAAAAGAACTAGTTTGGTGGTGTGGCTCTCTGGACAAGAAAGTACAGGTCTTTTTCTTTCTTTCAAAGCATACATTTCTCAAAGGGTTATCACTGAGAATCTTAGCTCTAACATTTGTGACATGAGCAATGCTCTTTCTTAGACTACACTTATTAGCTATAGTCCTGAGTATTTGATAGTCTATTCTTTACAGTCTTTTTGCTTAGGGTCCAATTATCTCTTCCAAATAGTTCTCTTTGAACAAACACTTGACCTAGGCCTGGTCCTTTCCCATAGACCACATCTGGTTCAGAGGAAATACTGGTGCTTCCTTCCATCTATGAGAATAGCTCTTATTGCTTTGCTGGAGGTAAACTGCTCCAGCCAGTGCCTTTTGCCTTAGTTTCTCAGGATGAGCCAAACATGCAGGAATCTTTGTTTTCTGTCCTAGAAATAGAGTTAATAAAGACTTACAAACTGGAACCTGGACACCTCTACAAGCGCTGAAGATTGTAGACATCTCACCTTGGAAAGTGGGACTATTTGGCACCCTTACTTTTGTTTTGGGGACCTCAGCTAAAAAGGGAGTGAAAAAAGTCATATTGTAAAAGCTTGTTTCATGCATAAAAGTATAGGAGTGATGCAATAAGGACTCTTTCATGCTGTCTAAAAAGCAGGGGGCCAGCTCCCATGATTGACTTAATTACAAGATGTGTGCCAATCGGAATTAAAAAGCTAGATCATGGGTCTCTGCAGGAAAAGAGAAAGGCTTGGAGCCAATTGAATGGGTATCACTGTAAGAAGATTGCCTAGCAGAGAGAAATTTGCAAACATTTACACTAAGGCTATGAGCTCTGAAGTCAGACCTTGGTTTAAATTCTTTTTTTTTAATAGGACTTTATATATATATATATATATATATATATATATATATATATATATATATATATATATTATTTTCTACAGAGGAAGAGGGATAGTTAGAAACATCGATGAGAGAGAATCATCGATCAGCTGCCTCTTGCAACCAAGGTACATGCCCTTAACCAGAATCAAACCCGGGACCTTTCAGTCCACAGGCTGACACTCTATCCATTGAGCTAAACCGGTTTCGTCTAAGTTTTTATTAGGAATTCATTAGCTGGGTACTCTAACACTCTTAAGCCCTTGGTTTTCTAGTTTGTAAAAGGAAATAGCTACCTTGAAGGATGGCTGCAAAGATTAAATGAGATGTGAGTAGATTCTAAATCAGAGGCCCTCAATGAGTTGGAACCATCACATTCCTCCTCAGCCTAGAATCCCTTTCATTCATTAATTCCACGCTCCCATGAAGACAGCTTGTGGTTAGCTATCTCTTTCAGAAGGCTTTCTTGGATACTCTTTCCCTCCTCTTATGGTAGAGGTGCTTCCAAAGTACCTATCATGGCGCTAACACTTATCTCAAATTGTCCCCATGTTTGCCTCTCCCACTAGCACTGGGCAGTTCTGGACTGCAGAGAGCACATTTAATTCATAAGCTTTTAGGACAGGCCTAGACAAAACAAATCAATGACACACATTTGTAGCATGTGGACTCTGTGTAATTCACACCATCTGGATTGGACAGGGAGAGCAGTGGTATGTTAATGAGCCCCTCCCTTGGGAGAAACATTCAAGATCTGATTCCTAGCCTGGTTCTTTGGATCAGAACTTTAGAGAAGGTAAAAGCTTCAGAGAAATGTCTCTCATGGGGAGAGGGGAGTTTATGTCTTAAAAAGCATTCAACATTATATATTCAGAAAATTGAATCTTACTTTATTTTAAAATAGAAAGCCAGACAAAACCTTGGCTGATAAGGGATATATAGGCGTCAGCCACATCATGGGGATGAAAATTGAAACTGGGGCAGCAGGAGGTACTTGTGTATCCAAAGGAGGAAAATGAGTTATTAAAGTGTGACAAATACTGATCTATTTCCAAACTCTTCTTTACATACAGAGGACAGAGGGTTAAAGGAGTCCAAGGTCACACAGCTGTCAGGTAGCAGAGGCAGGACTTATAACACTCAACTATACTCCTCCACTGACTGCATCATGGCTTGGCCAAGGCCTTGTGTGGTGAAGTAGTGGCACAACCCTAGGGTGGAGGAGCACTGGATGGACAGAGGTGGTGGCATGGTGTGATCCTGAGCAAGCCAGTTTGTCTGAGACCCAGTTTCCTCAAATGCAAAACAGAATGATAATATTCCATCTCATTGCTCAAGAATCAAGAGAAGGGAAAGTACTTTACAAACTGTATTATTAAAAGTGGTCCTTCTGGCTTTTAAGTCATCCAGCTTACAAAAACAGCAACACTTAAAGCTCTTCAGCTAACTCCAAGCAAGGATTTCCAAGGAAGTAGGAAAATCAGTATTAATCAAAACATTTTGAGTACATTGGAATCAGGGTTAATGTTGTAAGTAGTATAACAGGGAAAAAAGGTAAAATTAGATCTACTTCTTAAATTGCAAACCACGGTAAACTCCAAATAGAACAGAGACCTAAATTTAAAAAAGGTACATCACACAAACACTAGCACATGAATTCAGTGACATGAAAATGAGGAAAACTGTTAACAGCTCAAAATCCTGAAGCAGAATAATAAATTGCATAGCATAAGAATTCTGCTATAGCCCAAACTGGTTTGGCTCAGTGGATAGAGCGTCAGCCTGTGGACTGAAAGGTCCCGGGTTTGATTCTGGTCAAGGGCATGTACCTTGGTTGTGGGCACATCCCCAGTGGGGGGGTGTGCAGGAGGCAGCTAATTAATGATCCTCTCTCATCAATGTTTCTAACTCTCTTCCTCTCTGTAAAGTCAATAAAAATATATATAAAAAAAAATTCTGCTATAGCAACCAGTCCAAACCAAAATCACCATAGACTTGAGGGAAATACAAATGACCAGCTGAAAGAAAATCTGCAACTTAATCATAATAAACAAGTGTTTTAACAGCCTGAATACAGCTTTTAAAAAAGTCCCATAAAAATATCCTATAGATGCCCACAGAAAAAGAAATACAGATGGCTAACCCATCTATGTACCTGAGGTATTGACACTACCACTTTCAGGTTACACTCAACCTCACAAGAGAAATGCAAAAATTATCCTGAAAGTCCTGCCTTACCTATCAGACCAAAAAAGTCAAACTGGACAATATAACTTGGTGAGTCTGTGGGAAAGAAAATGATTAGGTTCCCATGAAGGTAAATGGCAGTATTTACTTAAATTACACATTCCTTTGCTTTGATAGGAGTCTCAATTTTTAAATGGCAAATATAATTAAAGTATCTGTATGAGGCTTTTAATTAAGCACTGTTTATAGAGACAGCAATTTGGAAGATCAAATGACCATCAGTAGAGAACTGGTTGGATCAAGGATGCCACTCAGGAATGAAAAACATAAAAAGTGAATACTTAAGGAAAAAAGGATATAAATGGATTTATACCCTGGCTGGTGGACATTTGTAAAATCACTTAGGTTTCAGAAACCCTGGAAAAAATTCCACTAGCTATAAGCTAATTTAAATACTGCTTTCAGAAACTTGTCATGTGAACAGCACACACTTAAATAAAAGACAAAAGTTCAACAGAGTGTTAAATTTTTTATTCACTGATAAACTAAAAATTCATTTCTAGATGTTTCTCTTAGTAAACTTCATGTTTTATTAGTAAGCAAAGGCCTATATAAGGTGCCTTCACCTAGTCCTCAGATTCAGACCCATCTTCATCTTGACTAATCTGGAAGTAGCGAAGTTCATATGTCTCCTTATCAGATGCAACCACACGAAGCCAATCACGAAGACTATTCTTCTTGAGGTATTTCTTGGTAAGGTATTTCAAATATCTTTAAAACAAAAATATTTATTTTATTAAATACCTACTATGTAAAGGCTTATTACATAAAAGACGTGCACCTTGTAGGCTCCCAATTCCCCCCAAGATACTTTGCTTGTATTAACCACTGTGCAAGATTGCTAGGCATACAAATAAGGGAGCCTCTCAACCCCAATTACAATCAGTTTTTACTGTATAAAACCCTTATTCTCCCAACTCCTTAAATAAAACGAGTGTTTTTATGTTATAAGCCAATATGAAAGAGCAGCTTTCTCTTCGATCTCACTGTCACAATCAATTATTTCTACATTAAATTTACAATTCCATTCTTCCAATGTACCATGTACTAAAATATCAACGATCCCTTCTTCACCATCTCTAACCTGAATCCTATGTTGCATCAATTAGAGGTAACCTCTCAACAGGTTCCACTTACAAGTCAAGATTAGCCACAGCCTTGAAACTAACACCTGGCTGTTATTAAAAGCTTTCAGCCTGGCTCAATCTCGTCACCAGCCTTTCTGCCCTTTGCCAGAAACACCCAACTCCACTGGCAACACTGTGTTCATTCTCAGGTTTTCTACTAATTCTTGTGTCCTCCCTCCCTATCTCTTGCCTAAGTAACTGTCACTATCACTAAGTATATTTTCCATTCATATAGGCCTTATTAAAGTTCAAAGCACTTTTGATATGTCTCCAACAACGTATCTATTCTTACATATGAAGAGCATACTAGGATTACATATTCCATAAAACATTCCACAATTATCCTAATCTCACTAAAATAGTATGGAAAATACTAACCTTTTAGAGAATTGTTTCTCAGAAACAACTGTGATTTTATTCTTGAAGCGTTCTATGTGAACAACATTCCCAAGATTTCCAGTTTTCCCATTGACTTTAACCTTCTCCCGTAGAAACTGTTCCTATTTTAAAACAGAAAAAGTGCAAAACTAGGGAAGAAAACCCTAGATATTCACTAGGGAAGGTACCCTAGGAATAGAGCTTAGGTTAAAATCAAATATTATATACTCAGTAATTATCAAGAACTTCAGATTGATAAAAAAAAAAAAAAAAAGTCGAGTGATACTTACAAAATTTGCAGAGTCAAAAATGCCATCTTCTACTGGATGAGTAAGGTCCAAACCAAACTTCCAAGTTGTCCTCTTAGGCTTCTTGGCTTTCTGTCACAGAATATTAATATAATCATGACTCTCGGAAACAACTTAGTCACTTTATTTACAAACTTTAAAAATCTATCAGTGCATTGATGTACACGATGCCAAAAGATGACATGAAACTGTGCAAAATCCTAAAACAAACAGCCGATCATCAATCGGGTTATTCCTTTTCAACCAGGATGCCAGAAGGAGGGTGAGTACACCCCTTAACTTGACTTACACCAAGTTTTGGTGAAATCTGATGAAAATCTGTCATACATCATACAAGTTGTCTCCCAAATGCAAAACTCGAAAGAATATGGTAAGCTACTTACTACTCGTTCCCTTCATTAGAAGATTTCAAGGAGTCCTACTTTTACAAGTGGAAAGGATTAAGAATATCCATGCACTTCGTACTCCAAGTACTACAAGTGAGAGCTAGAAAACACCCATCCTGCCGTTTGAACCTCTAACCTTGTTCAAATTATCAAGGAAAGTCTTACAGCCCTTACTATTTCCCAGACCACGGACGTCCTACTTCAAATTACCAGGCACTATTTCTCCAGGACTGGCGCCTCTCCACCGCTGCCATCCCCACTGAGGCTGGGGGCGCTCCGCCAGGTCAGAGATCGCACCCTTCACGCCCACATAATTCACTCCTATCGCTGGTACAAGGAGGGGAGCCTTTAGTCTGGCTGGTATTTTTTTTTTTAACTTTGAAAACACGTATAACTTAGTTTTTTTTCAGACCCAACACTTTTAGGCCAATGCCACGTAACAGGGTTACACAAGTGAAATGGTGCTATGGCTACTAACTATTCAGACAACGGAGTGAACAGACAAAATCAGCATTTGCCAGAGGATGGCACTTCCACATCACATCTACACAAATGGGTACCAAGTTGGCTTCCTTACGTAGTCCAGGAACTTGTGCCCAAAAACCTGCGTGTAATTTAGGAGACGCAAACAGTTTCTGTCTGGCGGAGATGAACCAGGGTTATGGCCCGCTCAGACCAGTTTTGTCAGTAACCCAGCAGTATCGCCCTCATACACTTTTTTTTTTCTGTAAATTTCCGACACACACCTAGCTTCCCAAATGCTCTTGGGACCGACTTTAACATCTTCCCGATTCCCTTATTCTAAGGTCAATGTTTGAAAGCGCATTCCTTTTTCTTTTACCCAATAGCCGTGGTCTGTGCCTGTAAAACAATTCCTTCATGAGAACAAGCTTCCTCCGCAGCTCGGCTCTGACGTTCTCTTTTGCAACGGGGGCTAAGGCCGTCAGACCCTCCCGGCACCCCATTCCCTCCCCGGTGCCAGCTGACAGGGTGGCGGGGAGAAAAGCTGCGGCCCACGTGCCGCCGGTGCCCCCGGCCCGCTCCCTGGGCGCCTCCTTCCCTGCGCTCGCCCGGCCCCCCAAGCCAAGGCCGGGCCGGCGCCACGGGCCGGTGCCCTCGGAAGAGCTGAGAGCCTTTACATTTAGGTCGTTTCCCTGACGCAGTCTAATCTTCCACTTCCTTTAATCTCCAAGGAGACAACCCCAACTCTCCAGACGCCTAAGTGGTCTACTTGGGGGGAAGGGGGGGAAGACGACAGCGCAGCGACCGCGCGCACACTCACCGGCGCCATCTTGCCAGCAGGCCGCGCGATCAGAGGGAAAGCCGGGCGCGTCGGCACGTATTTATAGCGGAGCGTGCTGCGTCATGCGCCGCCGGGACGTAACCTCCGCGCCGGCCGGAAGGGAACTCGAGAAAGAACGCGGAGGCCGGTAACCCAGGAAACCGGTAACCCAGGAAACGGAGGGCGCGTCAGGGAGCGGAGGCAGTCAGGTCTCCTGGGAGCGCCCCCCAGCGGCGGTGTATGGAAGGATTCACGGTGTTCTTGTAAGAAGCTGGCTCTGCACCAAGTTACACACACATACTATCCGAGGTACAGAGGACTCTCATCTCTCACTAATCGTCTGCATCTTCTTTCCATTCAGAGCAAGGCATTGTCTCAAGAACCTTTGAGATCTCCTGTCTTCTATATTTATTATCCTCCAGCAAAAATTTATTTCTATATCTATGTTTTGTTTTCTAAATGATGGTTGAGAGAAATCAGTATTTTGGAATACAAAATAAACTATGTTTTCCAATAGAAAAAAAGAAATTAAGTGAAAATCACTTGTTTGCACATTGGGTATGACATATATATATTATAAAATTTAAAGAAGATACAGTATCATTTTCAGTAACATAATTATATAAAAAGCTATCTTGTGTGTTGGAGTGATGGTCAATCTGTATATTACTCTTTTATTAGATAGGATAGAGGCCTGGTGCATGGGTGGCGGCAGGCTGGTTTGCCCTGAAGAATGTCCTGGATCAGGGTGTGGGGTGGCCTGGGGTGTGGGGCAGCCTGGGCAAGGGGCCTGTGGTGGTTTGTAGTCTGGCCATGCCCCTTGGCGACCCAAGCAAAGGTCCTGGTACCTGGGGTTTATTTATTTTCTACAATTGAAACTTTGAAGCCTAGAGCAGAGCCAAGCCTTCTGCTGGCTCCTTGATGGCAGCCATTTCTGTTGGATTTATGTATCTTCTATTATTGAAACTTTGTAGCCTTAACCAGAGGCCTAGGCCGGCAAGAGCAGGTGGAAAGTTTGGCTTCCTCCATCACTGGGGAAACCCAAGCCTCCCTCTTGCTCTCTGTAGCTGTAGCCATCTTGGTTGGGTTTATTTACATACTCACTGCTGATTGGCTTGTAGGCATATCAGTGATGGTTAATTTGCATATTACTCTTCTTTTAACTTGCATATTACTCTTCTATTAGATAAGAGATGTGTGTGTGTGTGTGTATTCCTTACCAGAGGATATGTTTTCCTTAAATTTAGAGAGGAAGAAAGAAAAACATTGATTGGTTGCCTCTCTTACTTGTCCCGACCAGGGATCAAACTGGGAACCTTGGTATGTACCCTGACTGGGAAATAATCCTACAGCCTTCTGGAATATGGGATAATGCTCCAATCAACTGAGCCAGTTGGCCAGGGCTTCATTATTATATTTTTAATCTTTCTGTTGCTACTGCAAGGTTTTCCTTCCATTATACTTTCTAATTGGTAATTATTTTTGTATAAAAGCTGTTTACTTTTGCATGTTAATCTTGTATCCTGCTACATTGATGAATACTTTTGAGTTAGCTTTATCATTCACTAGAGGCCTGATGCATGAAATTCAAGGCAAGGGGCTCGATCCTCGCAGCCCCAGCTTCGGCAGGAAGGTTGTCTGGACAGTCGTTTGCCATCCAGTCTAATTAGCATATTATGCTTTTATTATTATACATTACCTGGGACTTTTCCAGGTACTATCAGATCACCTGAAAATAGTTCTATTTTTTCTTTTACAATTCCAATGTGTCTGTTTTCTATTGTCCAATAGCATAGGTTAATACTTCTAGAACAAATAATAGTGGACAAGATAGTGGACATTCTTGCCCAAGTTTTTTATCTTAGTGAGTTAATGTTTTTAGTGTTTTTCCACTAAGTGAAAGGCTAGCTTTTGGAATATTGTACACATATACATTCAAGTTGAGAATACTATTGAGAGATTTCTTAAGATATTAATCTATTTTCCATGTAAGTGTATTAAATAGACTTCCTAATATCGATCTATTCTTCATCTCTATAGAAGCTGCATGTAGGCATGTGCATTATTTCTTTATGTGCTATTTGAGTCTAATTATTAATAGTGTATTAGAATATTTGCATGTATATTTATTTTCCTTGTTTTTTAAAAAAGTTTAGGGTAAAAAAGTTATACAACATAAAAATACTTTCTCATTTTTATGCTCTAAACCATCCTACGTAACTTTGGGAGACGATCTGGTCTCAAAGGTGTGGTAAAATTCTCATGAAAATATCTGGGCCTGGTTTTGTTTTGGTTTGGACTTTTTTGTGGGATAGTTGTAGATAACTTTGTTTATTCATATTGTTTTGTTTAAGCTTTATATTCCTATTTCCACAGAGGTTGATTCTAATAATCTTATTTTACTAAGAAATTATATCACCTAGATTTTCAGGCTTGCACAGAATTTTACATTTTTTCCTCTGCATTACTAGTCATTCTTGTTATTTTTTCATATTTGTTTTCTTCTTTTACTTACTTTAAATAAATTAGCTAGTGGTTTGTTAATTTTAAAAAGAACCGTATTATTTTTAATTTGCTATTTTTCTATTTACCTCACTTTATGCTTTTTATCTTTGTATCTTCCTTTGTACTCTTTTTTTTGGTTTATTTTGCTACTATTTTTCTAGTTGTCTGGTCTAGTTATTTAATTCACTTATGTTTTCATTTTTATTGATATAGATGTAAAACATGAATTTCCCTCTCTATTGCTTAACATAGATTTTTATATACTTTCATTCTTTTTCTTGAATTCTTTCATTTCTGACTAAGTTCTTTTCATTCTAGAATTATGTAATAGATTTTTACATTTTCAGGTAGAAAAGTCTTTTAATTTTCAATTTCACTTAGGATTAGTATGTGTTAATATTTCTACTTTATAAAAACAACTGTTTTTGCGTGTGTGCCCTGAGTATCTTTTTCTGATATTTCCATTTGCCGTTAATGTATATAAATATTCTAAAATATTTACCTCAATGATTCCACAGCAATTAAAATGAATTAGTGATAATTTAAGTGAAACTCACGCACATAATTGTGAACAAAAAAAGGGCAGAGACGCTATCAATGTTAGGTAGATGGACCTCCATTTTCCCAATTAGAATCTGTGTGGGGTACCTGCTGGCAACTGAGGTTGTCAAGCCTTTTTGGCCCTCTAAACACTGGGACACAATCATGCTAGGAAGTGCCCACTTGGTGGCCAAAAATTATTTGACTGGATTTAGAAATAATTCTCAAATTGGACAATCTGTAATAATAAAAGTATAATATGCTAATTAGACCACACATCTTCCCTCTGGACAAAGGAGCAGTGGGTGGGGGCCAAGGCAGAGGTGGCAGAGCCCCCTTGCTCCCCTTCCCCCCCCCCCCCCCCCGCCATGGTGGGTGGGGGAAAGGGCCAAGGCCCTTGCACTAATTTCGTGCATCAGGCCTCTAATGGATCTATAATAACCTTATGGGTGAGTCCTTCTGAAGCAATATACACCCAGTAGTTGTAAACGATACTGCTGAATGCATTGTGGGAATAGATATTTTAAGATAGCAGTGGTCACACGTGTTAGGCAGGCAGTATGGTTATAAATGTGGCAATTCCACAGGACACCCTCTATTTGGATAGGCTGGGGCTGGGGGAGAATACTAAGACAGGCTGCTACATAATACACAATTAGCCCCCTTTTGCTCCTCCCACCCCCCCACCCCCACCCCCATCCCTACCTCTGGGAAACTGAGTTACTGGTATTATATTTGCAAGTGGAAAAAAAAAGTAGGGTTGGAGGGTTGAAGATTCTTGTGCTCCTTTTTCTGCCTTATGCTTGCTGGACCTGAAAAGTTGTCACCGTTATAAGGTGACAACTACCACAGCAGTCTCGTCATGGCTCACATGTCAGGGAGTGAGAGATATGGTCTAGAATGGTACCATGTAGAAAAAGGAAGAAACCTTTTCTACATGGTACCAATCTAGGGATGACTCTGGTGAGGATTGGAAAAACAGTGAAGGGTCTGCTTCAGGGTCTCACCACACCATATCACTGTAGAAAGAGAATAGCAACCCTGGCAGGGCAGGAACAGCTCAGACCCTGAGAGGACAGGGATGGGAGGGACCGTTAACCTCTCTTGCATTCATGTCTGAGGAAGATGAAGATTATTTACTTGTATAATTTTGAACCATGTGGCTATCTACATATTTTAAAAGCTACTAAAAATTTTAAAATAAAAACATTGTACCTAAATCTGGGCCAATCTCTAGTAAGGACCTAGAATATAAAAACACGACAAATACAAATGTTAGACTTTCTTTTAACAGTGGTATACACATTCAAACAATTTTCTAGTATGAAATTTCTTTTAGAAATATATATATATATACAATAGTGTAAGCTGTTAACTTTATTTTTATTTGATATAACCGATGAAGTTTTAACAAATATACTTTAATGTAACAAAGAATTATAACTGATAAATTTACCATCTACATTTTAAAGAATTTTCAACAATTATTTTAGTACAGCTAAAGATTTAACATTTGAATTTTACCTTTTGAAATGTAAAATGCTCTATTATAATACCCATTCTACATTTCTTACAATTTTAAAGTTTTAGCTAAAACATGAGTAAAAACAAGAGTTCTCCTACTCCTAAGACAAATAAAATGTATTACTAATAAAGTGCCATTGGATTAGACAATACTATTTTAACTATCTCCTTTTTGGAGAGGACGACAACAGTACATAGAGTATAGAGCTAGTCATTTTCATTATACTAGTGTAGAATCAGCAATTTGCATTACACTTTGTAACAAGGATGAGTGCTTATTTGTAGTAGATATCAACAATAAAGAATTCCTCTCAAGATGACAATTATAACTTAGGACAAGCTATGTAGTCAGCACTGAATATCATAGTTTAGTGTCCAGAGTTTTTAAAAAGTACAATCTTAACTAAGACAAACCTGTCTACCAACACTAAGAAATAGTTTTAGGGACTCCATATAAATAAAATAACTTTTCTTTCAATTGTAAAATAGTTTCAACCTGTTTTAAGGAGCGGAATAATAGTGGTGGATGGTCAAGTTTGGCACTAAGTGTGTTTCTAGCAGGTGGTAGCCGGATATGCATTGCTATTAAATACATCTTTCACAGAAGGAAAATGTACGAATTAGATGTATACAGCACTTTTCAGGCACTTGACTTCACTTGGTGGTTAAATTGATGTTCAGATATTTAATTAATGGAAAAAATATTAAATTATATAATAACTTCAAGTCATGTTCCTTCCCACAGAACATCTGTGTTCCGTAAGCTAAATCCAAATGTTCCCTGATAAAATCCAATAATGACACCCAATTCAGAAAGAAAACATTTAATAGATTAAAGGTAATACATTGAATTTTCTCAATTTTAAAATTTTCCACATTAAATTTTTCTTTAGGCTTTGTTGCCAACTACTTGTCTGAATGCTAGGAGAAAAAGGGCTTGAAAACTATGAAATATGCCTAAATGATAGAAAAGTTTAAGCCACTGGACAGTTTAATGTACTAATTATGGAAATATACTTTTGCTCTTACACTTCTTAAATATAGTTTGCTCTTACACTTCTTAAGAGCCATATTTTCTTAGTAAATCTGTTCCTAGTTCATATAATACAATTCAGTATGTAAACATTTTAATGTGAACCTAAACAAACATTATGAATTTTGATCTGTTGTTCCTAAATATGTTTGAGAACCACTAACTACATCAATGTCTGACTGAAACTATCTTTGGGGTTCATGCTAAAGAAACGTTTTCAGATACATCATTAAGGAAGGTTCTAAGGTAAGTATTTTAAAATGTATTTTAAAATGAAAAAAAAAAATTTATGGCAAAATTCCAGTATAGTTGTCACTAATGTCCCCATTTTTCTTGAATACTTAGCATGTAGTTTAAATATGTTGATATTAAGGATTTTTTAATTTGTATGTATTGCAATTTGGGAAAATTCTGCAATATATTTTCAGGCAGTTATCTTTAAAATAATGAAACTTGAACTCGTAGCACAAACAGCCCTGAGAACAATGCATTCAAATTACAGCTCAACTAGAAATAATCTAATTGAGAAACCTTAAAACTACAAAAACAAATTCTGAAAAAGTCGTAAAAAAAACACACACACAAAACAACATTTGAGGCACTACCATACTACAGTACTTTTAAGAATTGTAAAGACTCTGTTAAAAAAAAAAAAAGCAAACATACAAAGCTGTGTGACATGCACACACATTGTGCTATAATGAAACACTGTGTCCAATTTTATAGACTAAACATTTTATTGCAGCATCTGTTAATGATATATCATGCTCTGGCTGCAGCAGAGTTTTGGTAACTGTTTACAAAGCATTGGTAAGGAATTTTATATTATCAGTGGAAACTGATTCAAGAGCTCGGTTAGCAACAATTTCAAGTGACTGACAGCCCTTGGAAGGGAGCAGGAAAGAAACATCATAATTATATTACGATGCCAATGCTATGTCAAAGATTTGATCTATTTCAGAGGGTATACAACATTATATCAATAGCAAATAAGGTATAACAAAGTCTTCACAGTACAAATAAAATGTTCTAGAAAGAAACACATATTCCACTTGTTAATATAATGTTGTATATCAGCGATCTTCAACCAGAGTGTTGCAAGACCTTTTAAAATATGCAATACTTGACTAATTTGGTCAGAGGCACTGACCACTTTTCCCTTAGATTGTCAAATGAAAAAAATGACAACAGCCAACACAATAGTTGTCGGTTGTGAATGAATCAAAATTATACTTTTTTTAAAACCAGGTCAGCAAAAATATATTTTTTGGTGTGCTGCAGAATTTTAGTAATTAGTTTGTGGGCCACAAGATGATACAAGGTTGAAAATTGCTGTTGTGTATTAACTGGTGAAATGCCTTAAGACAAACATGGTGCATCACTATATAACCTTACCAACATGACATTCTACATTTCATACACAGTACTTGTGATATTTATCATTTGCTGAAAAGAAGTACAACAAATACTAGGAATCAACTTTTAACATCTCTGATGTCAAAAAAGAATGAAGTCATTTCTGTTTTATGTTAAAAAATGTTTCCTTGCTTGTTTTTAATACAATTTACAAAGCATTACTAAAAGAAATATCTTGTTCTAGAGAAACATATTTATGTGAAAATAAACAGTCCCATATCTTTAAAATCTACACTTACCTGTCAGAAAAGTATTTACACTTCTTTATAAGTACTTAAAATGAATTACGTGTGCATAAATAGCTTTTGCCATTCAAAGTATGAAGATAGAGATGCATTATTATAATTTACATATACTTATCTTGCAATTGAAAACATATTTATGTGAAGTTTGACAAGTTAGGAAAAACAAAGGCATGCTGACCCAGAATTATAATACAAACCAGAACACTAGTATGGTTAACTGGGGTCATATGCATGACCAGCAAGCAGCACAGCTGGATAACTTTCTAGAATTCCTGTGGGTAATAATGCTAACCAGTAGCAAATAAGATACACATTATAAAATACTAAAAAACGAGAGCAGCATGTAGTAGATACTGAAATGGAATATTGGAAAGAATTTAGTCTAATTCATACTTGTGCTTTAGATGGGCAAAAGTTAAAATGCTGCACTAAAAATGATTAATTTGCAACCTCAATATTTCTTGTGCTTTAGAATTCTCTTTGCATGTCTATAAAATATCTTGCTTCTTCTCCAAATGGGTTAGCTGAGGCTAACACAAGGTTTAAAAGTATGAGCAAATTAAGCAACTAAAACTTTGGGATCTTCTGTTTTTAATGCGATTCCCAGCCACTGATTAAATTAGTTGCAGCATCACATATTTTCTTCTAGATAATAGGAATAAAAGCCTTGTGTAAGTCAAGGCATGATAGGAGAGGTCTCATAATCAGTCATAGAGAATGGAAGTGTTCTGAAACAGTAATTTTGTTCTGGGTTTCACTCCAAAATAATGGTTTTTGGAGTGAAACCCAGAAAGGGTTTCACTGCGTCAAAGGTCCTCATAAACCCTATGACAATGTTCAGAATTCCGGAAATAAGGTGTATGTGAAGAGAAATGTAGCAGTCACCTAAAACACTTTTTAAAATAATTCAGTTTTACAGAATTTCTTCCTAGTTATATTTCACATGAGTAACTGAATTAAGTCATGTGACAATCAGAAAAAATACATATAAGTACTTCTTAGTTAATGATTATCACATAAAGTAACTTTTCTCCCATAATTCATTTTCATTTCATTCTACAAAAAAAAAAAAAAAAAAAGTACATAAATTTAACAAATGTTTCAAGTCAATTTGAAGTTAGAATTTCCAGTTTTTGTCTGACATAAATATTTTGATGTTAACATCTACTTACAAATGCTTGGAAAGGAATGATTACTATAAATAATATTTATCAACATAATTAAAAGCATTGTATAGTACCTCACAAAGCAAGTCACTACTTGAAATACAGAGAGAGAGAGAGAAGAGAGAGTGACAGACCAACAGTTGAAAGCAAAAGTACAATTAGAAGCTTTCTGATTAGAAAGGCCTCAAATAAAAAACTATAACTTTAACAAACCCATTTTGCCACTGTCCCTGTGTCGTCTTTACAGTATGATTTTCTAATAGTTACCCAACAGTTTACTGCCTCTCTGTCAACCACAGCAGGTATAAAAATCACCATATATAAGGTTATATGAAGTCGGCCAACAATTTGGCAAAGAACAGTAAGACCAAGGTAATACAGGGTACCACAATGACACCTTTTGATAACATGATTTTTGTTTAAGAATTTGTGCTTGCCACACATCAGCTGAAACTGTGACAATTCTAATCCATTATTTACTTACTCTATATGTGGGGTCTGAAATTAATACAGCACAATTCAACTTAAATGTGGTACTTCGATACCACTGGATGCTACATTGTTTGATTTAAAACCCTGGTTTATTTATCACTTAACTAAAATTCACGAATGATATACTCAAATCACATCTGTGGATTTCTTGGACTGTTCCTTGGACTCACATACTGACAACCACAGGAATGTTAAAAAAAAAAAAAAATACCTACAAAAAAAAAAAAAAAATTATACATTGTGATTTTTTTTTTTTAAATTACTAATTGCGTGCAAAACTAACTCAGCACAATTTCAAAACAATTAAAAGATAAATGAGGTTGCTTCTGAAGGCCATAGCTTTGGTGACAACTTAGAACCAAACTTGAGATCTGTAGTTGATTCAGACCTAAACAGTTTGTCAAGCCTGATGCTCCCAGTTATTTGCAGGGCTTTATGGCTACAGCATATTCTTCACTCATTGCACACATGACAGACACCTGGAAGGAAAAATGCAAGCAAAAGTTCTTCAGAAGGCAAGACATATATAAGATATATTTAATTAATTATATTCTGTATATTCCTGGATATTTTATACATATAAACTTTGGAAAGAGGTATCCCAAGATCAAATAATCTCCTTTCTTTATAGTTCCCAAAGAGAAATTTCTCAAATTGTGGTTTTTAGACAATTTCCAGGGAACAGGGAGAATAAGAGCTATAAATGTTTCAATACTTACTAGATGTTATGTATTCCAATAACATTCTTTCTAATACTAAAAAAAAAATAGCTCAGATACTGATCTTCAAAACAAATTTGAGAGGGTCAATGTCTATACAGCAAAAGTTTAAGTCTGATAATGGTTCTTTAAGGAAAAGTATGACATCATTTATAGACATCATTTTCAACATATTAGAATATTTAAACACTACCTTCATGTAAGTATTTTATGCAAACTAGATGAAGCCAAATTTTTATAAAATAGTTTTAAAAAATAATCCTCCCATAGGTCTTTACCTGTACATCTTCACCTGCATTGTATTTTCCTTCTATTTCTTTGCCTAGTTCACCTTCTGGGAGCTTTAGATCCTCACGAACTTCACCAGTTTCTGTCAGCAGGGAAAGGTAACCATCCTGAATGCATATCAGCTATTGAAAGGAATTGTATTTGCACTGATGAGATTATATTCACTCCTTTGTAATATTTACATAGTTAAGTTGCAATCCACATTAATTAGTATAAGTGCACAGTAATACATTAATATATTCTTCATGCTTAAAAAAATGTTAAGACACATAAAACTAAAAAATATGTACAGACTAAAAGTGTAAATTCACTCCTCCCTGAACTTCCCCTGTGCCCAAGTCTCTGCATTATTAAATAGTTTAGGCTTTTTTTATAATGTACCCTGAAGCATTTACATTTATGTACACACTAGAAATACAATTATTTAAAGAAACATAAATAATACAAGTATTTTTCAGCTTCACTTAACATATCTTAGAACTCTTTCCTAATTGGAAAATATGGACCTACCTTAGTCCCTTTAACCACTTTACAGCTGCATAGATATACTGTCACTGATTTAATCATTTTCCCATTGATGGCCATGAAAGTTTTTCACAATTACAAACAATGTGTATTTTAGTTTGATTATGAACAAAATGGAAAAATTTTAGTCTCCAACTCACTGCTTAATACCACCAGATTTTTAAAGAAAGACAAACAGCAGCTGTTGATAACAAAATGAAACAAACTCAGGTATTATATCAACCTAATTTGCAAGAAGCCACAGTTTTGATATAATTGAACTAGTGGCCTGGTGCATGAAATTTGTGCACGGGGGTGTCCCTCAGCCAGGCCTGTATCCTCTCCAATCTGGGACATCCTCTCGCAATCTGGGACTACTGGCTCCTTACCACTTATTTACCTGCATGCCTGCCTGTCCCCAACTGCCTGGCCCCCACTGGCCTTCTCGCCCCCAACTTTCTCCACCTTGCTGGCCTGCTTGCCCCCAACTGCATCCCCCCCCCCCCCCCCCCCCCCCCCGCCTCTGCCTGCCTACCCACCCTGCCAGGGCTCTGTGATCAATGATGCAGAGGGAGGCCCTGGCCACCCTGCTGGGGCCTGGGATCGATGGCAGAGCAGAGGCAGGCGTTTCCCACCCGGCCTGGGCTCCACCATTAATCACCTGTCCGGAAGGTCTCTCAGTCTAATTAGCATATTATCCTTTTATTAGTATAGATTTCTTTTATTATAGGCATGAAGAAACAGCCAGGCTATATTCATTATTCTAAAAGCATGTACTGGTATACCATGAGTGTGCTTAGAACTCTAACAGGATTTTATAGAAGGCAATCACCCTCAATACTAGATGTTACATTAAAGACGTGGTTGTGGCCGAAACCTGTTTGGCTCAGTGGATAGAGCGTCGGCCTGTGGATCAAAAGGTCCTGGGTTCGATTCCGGTCAGGGGCATGTACCTTGGTTGCGGGAACATCCCCAGAAAGGGGTGGGCAAGAGACAGCTGATCTATGATTCTCTCTCATCGATGTTTCTGACTCTCTATCCCTCTCCCTTCCTCTCTGTAAAAAATCAATAAAATATATTAAAAAAATAAAATAAAGACATGGTTGTGGACCCCTTTCACTACTATAACACATCACACTGTAGGGGCAGAGTTTCAAACCTCTCCTCTATGGCAGTACCAAAGCTGGCTATGACTTTCTACACTAACCCCAAAGACTGCAGGAGATATCAGTTTTACACATGTCTAAAATCTCAAAAACAAAAACAAAACCTAAACATCTTCCAAAGCACCACACACACTTTTAATTAATTTTTATGTCCTTCAAACATTTGGTTGACAAAGGAGCAGGGAATAAGGAGATTGAGGTAGAAGTATAATTTTTAAACAATTAACTATAGGCTTATAAGGCAGATAGAGCTTTTATATTTTCATTCTTTTAGCAATTCACTGAAGTGGAAATTGTCGATTTCAAGATTTAAAGATTCCCACTGCTATTAGTGACTGAAATATAGAAGCCTAATAATAATACTGGCATTTTGATATTTATATAATGGCTGTACTTTATTTTTTGCCAACAATTCATAAAATACTAGGATGAAAAATAAAGCATTTCAAATATAAAATTATATAAACACAAGACAAAATGTAAAAATGTATTTATATAGTAAACATCTTATTAAAATAAACTGCTTTATGAAATACAATTAAAAACAAGAAAACAGCTATAGAAAAAATAAAATTAAATGAAAAGGAATTATTTTATCTTTCTTAAATAAAATTTTAAAAAATGTGTTTTTATTGATTTCAGAGAGGAAAAAAGAGGGATAGATAGAAACATCAACGATGAGAGAGAATCATTGATCAGCTGCCTCCTCCATGCCTCCCACTGGGGATTGAGCCCACCATCTGGGTATGTGCCATGACTGGGAATCGAGCCATCATAGGTTCATAGGTCAATGCTCAACCACTGAGCCACACCAACTGGACTAAAATTTTTTTAATATACAGAAAAGTTAGAAAATCACATAAATTTACCTAAATTCATCCATGGTTAACATTTAACCACACATTCATTTTTCTCTATATATAGAGTATATAAAATAAATATTACACATTCCTATTCTTTTCTTACTTTTACTGAAACATTTGAGAATGTGTTTCACACAGGACTCTTTAGCAATAAATACTTCCCTGTTTCTCCTAAGAAAAAGGACACACTCTTCTTATAATATCAGTTTAATCTTCAAAATCCAGAAAGTCAACATTGCTAAAATATTATTCAATATATAGTCCATAGTCAAATTTGCCAATTGTCCCAATATTGTCTTTGATAGACATTTTTCCTTCCAATTCTAGGATCCTAACAGCTCAGTCTCTTTGAAATTCAACAATTCCTTACCCTTATCTTTTCTGACATTGATGTTTTTGGACAGCACAGAGTCACTGTATTATAGAACGTTCCTAATTTTGGGTTTGCTTCCTCATGATTCAGGTAATGCATTTTTGGAAGGAATACTACATAAATGATATATCCCCAGAAGATCACATCAGAAGGCAGATGATTTCAATTTGTGCTATTACCCTGTTTCCCCGAAAATAAGACAGTGTCTTATATTAATTTTTGCTCCCAAAGATGCGCTAGGTCTTATTTTCAGGGGATGTCTTATTTTTCCATGAAGAAGAATACAGTACACATTTATTGTTAAATAAAAATAAAGGAAATTTATTACCTGTATACGGTACGGTAGTATGGTAGTTGTCAACACAAACCAGACACACTGTGAATCCTACAGTATCAAGAATTTACTCATTTATTCAATGACAATCATGTCATCATCTTCTGGAACACCATCATAACAATCCAATTCCTGAATTTCCTGGTGAATTTCTTGTGACTCCATTTCTTTCAGAATCAGTGGGCCAAATCTCTCATGTTTAGCCTGGAGGGGGCCTTATTTTCGGGGGGATGCCTTATATTTCACTCAGAAGGAAATCTGTAAGAAGGTCTTATTTTTGGAGAATGTCTTATTTTCGGGGAAACACGTACTTGTGAGATTAACTTTGATCACTTGGCTAAAGGAGTAGCTGCCAGATTTTTCCACTCTAAAGATAGAATTTTCCCTTTAAAAAAAAAAATTGCAATAACAACAACAAAAAGATAATGGTGTCAAGTTGAGTTTTAAGCATACTTTTGTGCAATTTCCCCCCATCTTCTTTCAAAGTCCTCTCTGATGCTGTAGAGTTGGAAAGATAGTGAGGAGGCAGTTATAACTCAATTCTAAATATTTCCTTCCATCTTTAAACAAATATACTCATGTGATAAATTTAAAATGTTTTGAATCACTTTTTGGAGTGGGGTAGAAAGAGTATATAATTATTTGTTATTAGCAAGATGGGAGAGAATAGGGTCATAAAATTTGTAATAGTGGTGTATCAAGCTGCTAACAAATGAAATATGTTCCCAAAATACTGGCACCAGCATTTGTATTTATTTTTCTTAAAATAATCTAATGTATGGGGCTATTTCTCTCCATAGGGTGCCTTGGGAAAATGAATAATATCAGGTCCTGAGCGGGAAGTCTACAAGATGAACCTGGAGCCACCATTTACACTAGAAAGCATGGTGCTGCCAAGGACCACTAGGCCTATATTACAGGGACTCTCTGAAGCTTGCCAGAATAAGAGCCCCCTGGCCAAAGATAGAATAGTTTGAGAACTGATAAGGATAATAACTACAAGGAATTTAAATACAAATATGTTTAAAGTTCATAGTGAAAAACACATTTGATTGATTATGTTCATTTTGAAAACCGATAATTAAAGGAAAAGAACCAAGTATTTAAACTGCCTTCCCTATTATATACTGTACCAAGGGGTAAACAAACAAAAAATTGATTAAGAGAAGTTTCTCTTTATAGATTGCTATGGCAAAAAAAAAAAAAAAAACAAGACAGAAAAGTCAGGAAACAATTATTCTTTCTGTGAAGGAAAAGAGCCACTTGCTAACCTGACAAGCTCAGAGGAGGCCTGTGTGGCAGTCTTGCAAACTTAGAGACCTAAAATAACCACAAAAGATGGTTTGAAAATTAAATATCTAACTATAAACAGGTTATAGTAGGCAGTAGGCGATATTTTCCCAAAGATCAACTTCAATCTTTTTACTGAGCCCATTAGTCTTTTTGCCTCTAAGATAACATATCTATGAGATGTCTGGGTAACTTGTAACTTCCCTTTTTCTGGAGCCCCTGGGGCACAACCAAATGTGGATGCCTCAAATTCCTTCGTTATCATTTTAATTGTTCCTGCACTCACCTGAGTACACTTCCATCATTTTACTTTTTATCCAATCCCAGGAGTTTCCCACCACTTTGCTTTCTCCCGCCTCCTTACTCCACCACCAATGAATTTCATGTAACCCACCTATGTCTCTCCTTTGATTTCAGTGTATAAATAAAGAAATGTAACCCGCCATTCTTCAGAGCATTATCTGAATCCGTTGAAGTTCTGCTTGTCGGCATATGTCGACAGTTTGGCTCAAATAAATTCACAAAAATTCTTTACAGGTTTCAATGGTTTTTTTGTTAACATTTCATTCTGAACTTATTTAAAATATATAAAGTTAAAACTATAAATATTAATACATTTCTTTTCCTAAACAAAAGTTTACTTTTTTACTTATTCTAATGAATATGTATGCACACACATATATATTTCACTTTAGCTGACTGCCAAATTCCGCTTAAAATACCAAATAAAGCAAATATAAAGGATTACATGTAGCTAAATAATAAAAGTAGACATTTAATCAAGGCATTTGGATAGCACAATAACTATAATTGGAAAGGCTTACAGGGTTAAATTTTTTTTTTTTAATGAAAAGAAATATTCTACAGTGACTTGATAAAGAAAGATGTGATCAGAGTACATATTCTGCAAGGCACTATTCTAAGTATTGACTAATTAAACATCACAGCAATCCCATGAAGAGTTCATTATTCTTATCCCCATTTTATAAATAAAGGCAAGAGGTTAAGTAACTTGCCAACCAATGTCACACGGTAAGTGCCAAAGCAAGGATTTGTCTGGCTTGAGTCATTCTCTTATCCAAGCTACATACCAAAGGCTAGGACTAAAGTGAGGCAAGTGAGGCACCTGTCTTGGGTGTAAAATTTAAGGTGGTGCCAAAAAGAAATATCAGTGATCAGATGAATATTTTAACGTGGTGGCTTTTTTGTTTGTTTTTTAAATATATTTTTATTGATTTCAGAGAGGAAGGGAGAGATAGAGATAGAAACATGGACTGGCTCCTGCATGACCTCCAGTGGGGTTAAACCTGCAACCAGGGCTTGTGACTTGACTGGGAACTGAACCATAACCTCCTGGTTCATAGGTCGATGATTAACCATGAGCTACACTAGTTAGGCTGATGTTATGTTTTTTAAAATATATTTTTATTGATTTCAGAGAGGAAGGGAGAGGAAGAGAGATAGATACACCAATGATAGATCGACTGCCTTCTGCATGCCTCACACTGGGGATTCAGCCTGCAACCTGGGCATGCGCCCTGACCAGGAATCAAAATGTGATCAACGCTCAACCACTGAGCCATGCAGGTTGGGCAATGCGGTGTTTTTATAAATTAGAATTAGTGCAAAAAATTCCAAGATGAACAAAATATCAAAATTAAAAAAAAGAGAGAGCACCAGTCCAGTATTAGTGATTTTACCTTTTGCTTTAGGCTCCAGTGTGTCTTGACATTGTTGCTTTTCCTATCTTTATTTCAATGTTGTGCCTTAGGGAAGGGATTCACTCACCGCATTCCCCTCATCCTAGTATGGATCCTGCTATAGCCCAAAATAAGACCCACACCAAATTTTTTCTTAATGTTAAATCTTGAGTTCCAATCAATGACTGGCTCTTTTCATCACAGTAGAAATTATCTGAACTACTGATGCCAACTTTCTGAACTACTCAAAGGCAAAAGTCTTCTATGTTGAACGCATAGTAATGAATATAATGAATATCAAATAACCTAAGCACTCACATGTTAAAAATACAAACTGAAATCCACTGTTGGCAAAATTCTAAGCTTAGCCTCAGTTGGCACTATCCTCATCTCAATGAATAATTAGATATGCATTTAACAAATGCTTATTGAGCACCTATTATGTGTCCTAATTAGGTGCTTTAAGAATAATGGAATGGTTCCATGAAATTTTTACTATATAGGAAAAGGGAGAGCAGAAAAGAACTACTTTTGGGTGTAATCTCTTAGGTAATTATGGAATACAATTTCTAATTTAACCTTCACATTATCCCTCTTTTGTAGATGGGAAGACTAAAGCTCCAGAGGGGTTTCATAATTTATCCAAGGTCATCCAGTTAGAAAGCAGTACTGGATCCAAATCCAGACCTATCTGACCAAAAAAATAAACAACATAAAAAAAATGTACTATTACAATATTATACAATAAATATATTGTCTTATTATAAATGAATAAGACAATTCAAAATTCTACAATGTACCTAAAGCTACCTATAAAACACTTATGATAAGTGGGGAAATGTAAATATAAAATTGCTTACTAGATTCAAACCATGTAAAAATATGCTGACATGTGGACAAAGAGTAAAAGGAAATCATTGGGTAACTGCAGTTGATAGTGACATTTAAAAAAAAAAATTATATAATACAAAGCTCTAGCCAGTTTGGCTCAGTGGATAGAGCATCAGCTCAAGGACTAAAGGGTCTCCGGTTCAATCCTAGTCAAGGGCACATGCCTGGGTTGCAGGTTCAATCCTAGGCCTGGTTGGAGAGAGGCAACCAATGGATGTATCTCTCTCACATTGATGTTTCTCTCTGTGTCTCTCCTCCTCCCTTCCACTCTCTGTAAATATCAATGGAAAAATATCCTCGGGTGAGGATTAACAATTATGCAATACAATAAAAGGTATAGAAAGAAAGCAGTTTAAACTGGATAAAACAAATCTAAGTGTCACAGTGTGAACTTTTATTTCTCACTATATTTAATGAACAGAAACGAGTTCTATATATGGTAAGCTTGATAACAAAAACTGAAGACTTTCAAGAAAACTTTAGTTATGATTAACCTGAGCTTCCACATCCTATGAGGTTAGTGGTTTGGTTACTAGCAATACTCCAAACAACGAATGCTATCATTAAACTTGACTTATCCTGTATAATTGGAACTAAAGCTTGAAGTTTATACCTGTAATTTAACACAAGGTCACAGCATGGTCACTGAATAGAAATAAAACAACTATATTATTTTTTTATTTCCTTCACCATATTCAGTGATTATGTATTTTATCCTTTATATTTAAGGATGTCAACTTATTTCCCTATTTAAGAATGCCAACTTCTGACTCACATTTCACTAAAACACAAAGTTGGTTGGTGAAACATGAATTCCAATAATTTCTTGAAAATCTTAGGTCTGATAAGTGAAAAGAAATAAGGCATTTGGGAGGGAGTTACATAAATTTGAAATATTTTACAAACAGAACAGTAATTTTACTAAAAATTAAACCTATTCAGTCACAATATATAATTACTTAGTCTGAGAAATAAGAAGTTTTCAACTTTTTAAAAACGCAAGAAAGTTAAAACAGCAAACTAGCAATAATTCTAGATAAGGTATAACTATTAAATGGCACTATCCAATTTCTAGTATAAATGGTGCCTAATAATCCATTTGAAAAACCTCCAAAACTATTCCTGGTATTTGATAAATTACAACTGATATTTACACCTGTGAGAAACAAGCAGCATTTTAAAGGAAATTGGGACTTACTTGGTAGTCATTTCTCTTAATATTTGGAACATCCATATTGTGAGTAGAAGGGCAAATATCTTCATATTTTTTGCCCGTGAAAATATCAATTCCAACAAGGTGAACCTGACAGAGAAGGGAGAACAGAAAACCTGTTTAAACTTTGCCAAGTATATCACTCATTACATACACAAGAGCACAATATCAACGCTGATTATGACAGATTCTTTCTCCTTCCAAGGTCACCTAATTTTACTGTCTTAAAAAAAAAAATAGTAGGTATAAAATTGAGAAGCAGTGAGCAACTAAATGGTATCATGATATACCAAGACCCAAATCATATGCAGTCCAGTCATTACATTAATAGAGGGCCTATGAACTCAGGTTTTAGAATTATGTTGGAACTGGTTTTCTCATTTGTCAACTGAACAGATCTACTAAGTTCCTAGGAAAGTTTCAATTCCCAATTAATGAAACGTTATACGAGTCCAAGAAGGAAATGCTACTTTTCAGTATTCAAAGTAATAGCAGATCTCCCAGGAATTGTGGGAAGGGGGGGGGGGGGGAAGTGCTTATTACAAAGTTGTAGGTATAGAAGCCTCATGTGCTGTAATAGATGATTAAAAAAAAAAAATCTCCACGCGAAAACAGACCTGGAGGGGCACCCACCTTGGCATGACCGTGCTTTCCAGTTTTGGAAGTTGACATCTCCACTATTTTGCACGGCCGCCCCTTGAGCACCACGAAGCCGTTTTTGCGCAGGGCCGAGCACTGCATAGGGTACGTGCTGGAAGCCCCAGCATCGCCGGTGGTGAAATCGATTTCATCCGCCATGGGTGGGCTGGGGAGATGGTCGCTTTCCCCGGGAACTGCGCAAAAAAAAAGTTTGTGTTTGCTTCTTTTATAACCACGGGCACGGGAACATCTCAGTTCGGATAGGTTAGGTGCCAAAGCATCGCAGATGTACCATTGTTTGCATGAACACAACCCCCACCCAAGAACGGTGGACACTTTCTAACTCCGGCCTCTACAAACTTTTCCATCCACCGGTCGGGAGGTGGGTGGGAAGTCGCAGAGGAGCTCGCGGGCGTGGGGATGCCCCCCCCCCCCCCCTGGACGCCCCACTCGCAGCAAAGCCCAGCCCGGTCGTCCCGCCGCGGGAGGGAGAACCCGGCGACCTTCCCGCACCGCGCCGCGCCGCCACCCGGCCCTCCGCCGCCGCCGCCCAGATCGCCGCTGCGGGGACCCAGCCCAGGCCGCACGCCCCCGCGAACAACGGGGTTAAGATAACGGGACCCGACCGGCAGCGCCCAACCCTCCAGCATGGCACTCCACCCCCGGACTCCCGCGCTGCAGCCCCCGCCTCTCAGGCGCCCCCTTGTCCGGGGGGCATCCCCAGCCCGGCCCAGCCCCACATGGGCCTTCGCTCAGGCGGGTCCCGCGCTCGCCTCGGTTCCCCCATCTATCCTTCCTCCTTAGGACTCAGCTCCGGCTGCCTTCCCCCGCCTTGCTCCGGCCCCGGCCCCACCAGTTTTTCCCTTGTGTTCACCTTTCGGCAAAGAAAGAGCGCCTCTCCTCTGCGCGCCGGCGCGGGTCCCCCCTTACAGCTGCAGCGGAGGCAGCGGAGTCGGCCGCGGCAGTTCCAAGACACGGGGCGGGGCCGCCACACTTTCCACACCCCGGCCTCCCGCCCTTGCCCGCCCCCACCGCAACCCCACTTCCGGGATAGGTCCGGCGCGTCACAGGCCCCGCCCCCTCGGGCTCTCATTGGCCGCAAGGTTCCCGAGGCCCCGCCCAGTCACGTGAAGCGCGCCCTGGCACCCCCACGTGCTGCGGATTAGTGCACTTCCGGCGTGAGGAGCACTTTCTGGAGGCCGGTGGCTGAGCGGGAACTCGCCGGCAAGGATACTTGCTACCCCCCCCAAAAAAACTTTTAGGTTCATTGTGTTGGGGTTTCAGGCGAAGTCTACCGGAACCAAAACCACGTGCCGGGTGGACCCAGCCCTCCGGGGCGTGTCTGCTGTCACGTGACGGCTGTCCGGCCTCTTAGAGGCGGTGAGCAAATTCAACCGGGTACCACGGGATTGGGATTTCAAAGCTGGATTCAAACTTTGGCCCTCTTTGTTAGTCAAGCCCATGCTGTTCCTCAAAGAAGAGCCGAAATGCAGTGTTTTATTGCCCAGCTCAGCCCTGTGGGCTCCTCCTGGGACCTCAGCCTCCCCTGATGGGTGCCCCGCCGGAGTAGTCAGGGGTGGGGACTCATAAGACGTCCTTGAAGTAAAATGCGGTGGCGGTGAAAGGGCCTCACTCACTCCTTCCTCCACAGGCTGTTAGGAAGTTGTAGAAGTGGATGCTGCCTGATTCCTTCCATGTTGTCCAGAAAGGGATTCTACCACACTAAGCGCTTCTTTCTTCCTGGCGTTGGCATTCCGTGGAGAGGCATACCCACACCTCTTTAGGGTAGTTGGATTGCCCTCAAAATCGACCTGGAGCCAATAGAGACCTATATTGGCTTAAGGACCAACGCTGTAAAAAGGGATGTGCTCCCCTTTTCACAACGCACCACATTTTCTTACCCTGGAAAGGGTGACCTCCACACCCCAGTTTATGTAGCCCTGTGATACTGCATTGCTCTCATGAATTGTCCCATTGCTCACATTTCTCTGTGGCTCTACAGTTTTCACAGGTATTTCACACATACCGTCTAACTTAACCTTTACAATAAGCAAGTGAACTTCTGTGCAGAGCTCAGCCTCTAGCTAATATAGAAAGAGCCAGATTAGAATCCTGGCTCATGGTTTTCCTTTTATACCACCTAGCCTTTTCTTGTGTAGTTGTTACTAGAATGATTGCTAAAGTTTAAAGAGCATGTAAGCAGGAGATACATTAGATGTTTTATGTGTATTATTCCTTTAATCTTGACCTTGATTGTTACTCTTTAAACCTCAGATTTAGTAAGTTATATATAATTTATAGGAAGTAAAATGTACCATTTTAAATTATGAGTTTTGAAGAACATAGGCATTCTTGAAAGAACATAGGCGTTATTACCACTATAATAAAAATACAGAATATTGGCCTCATTCTAAACGTTTTCTCCTGCCTTTTTTGGTCAGTCCCCTCCCCCCAACCCAGCCCCGGGTAATCATTCACAACTATTCTTTGATCTACATTTTTAGTTGTGGAAAATAGCAGAGAAAAGTTAATTTCCCCAAATCACACAGCAAGTCAGAAAGCCAAGATTGACACTTGGCTCTGCAATCACTGCTTTAACTACCACCATATACTACATTCACATAAGATTTGGATATGGAATCAAATAACCTGGCAATATGGTCAATTTTAGTGAAATGACTGGAATGCTAAATCAATAAATACTGAACCATTGCTCCTAGGGGAAATATAGATTTAGGTTCTTGTGAACCTCTTGTAACAACATTTTTACCAACTGACCAATATATAATCTTGTTTCATGTGTGTTTCTGTCTATATATATATTAATGAACATTTAACTCATAGCCAACAGCACTATAATTCCTGCCCAAGGAGGCTTATCTAATATATGCATGTTCTCTGTAAGGCACATCACAGCCTTCTTGTGCTTATAAACACTGGACAACACTACAGCACTAGGGGGCCATTTTATTTATTTACATTTTTAAAAATACATTTTTATTGATTTCAGAGAGGAAAGGGTGAGAGATAGAAACATCAATGATGAGAATCATTGATTGGCTGCCTCCTCACGCCCCACACTGCAGATCAAACCTAGGCATGTGCCTTGATTCAGAATCAAACCATGACCTACTGGTTCATGGGGCAATGTTCAATCACTGAGCCATGACAGCCAGGGCATGGGAGCCATTTTAAACAGCCAAGTCACCAACAAAAGTGAAAAAAATATATGAAAAAGAGGCACTGAAAGACTGAAAAATACTGTTTGACAACTGAAATAAGAAAGCAGAGCATCACCTTGTTGACCTCAGCCCGGAAAACGTGTGTTGTATGATGCAAATCTTTCGCTGCTCTGTGGATGACCATAAATGACAGCCGAAGCAGCTAGAGTATTGATTTTGAGGTTGCAAATAATTTTACTGAGTAGGGAAACTCAGAAATATGGAATCAATGAATAATGAGGATTGGCCTTTTTTTGTAATCCTTACTGAGAACATGTTTATTGATTTTAGAGAGAGAGGAAAGGAAAGAGAGACAAACATTGATGTGAGAAACATGGGTCGATTGTCTCCTGTATGTGCTCTCCAGCAGGTGATGGAAGTATCCCAGGCCTGTGCCATGACCAGAAGTCAAACCTGTAATCCTTTTGGTGTACTGTACAATTCTCCATCCAACTGAGCCAGGATAAGGATTGACTGTATTTTAATATTGAAATGGCCATATTTACTAAGACAGCCTCTTGTTTATTAGGTCCCTATAGTCTAGTGCAGAATACAATTCAGCAGTTTTAACTGATATAATAAATGCTACTAATGAAATAACTATAGGATACTGTAGAGGGCTCCTCATCTAATCTAGGTGTTGTCCAATTGAAATATAATTCAAGCCACGTGTAATTTTGAGATTTATCATAACCACATTAAAAACCACCATAAATCGTTCCTAGGGCAATAGAAACTAAAGAGAAAATAAACAAATGGTATTATATAAAAATAAAAAGCTTCTGCACAGCAAAAGAAACCATCAAGAAAATAACAAAGCCCACTGCATGGGAGAACATATTTGCCAATGTTATCACTAATAAGGGTTTAATCTCCAACATTTACAGGGAACTCATACAACTTAACAAAAGGAAGATAAATAACCCAATCAAAAAAATGGGCAACAGACCTAAATATCTAGTAATAATTAATGTCGTTTTTAACATTCGTTTAAAATCTTGCTTGGCGTTGACTTGTATTGACATAACCTTCAAACACGTGGTATCTACAGAACGTGTGAAGTGCAATTAACAAGTTTTGCTCGAAAAAGTTTGTGTTTGGTTTGGTTTTTGTTGCAAAACTAGGGCTAAGAAGATGGCGGATGAAGAGCATATTCGGCACTGCATGCTTTACAAGTTCCAAGTAAGAAGAAAAGCAAGTGAGGCTGCAAAAAACATCTGTAGTGCTCTTGGTCAAGATGCAGTTAGCGCCAGAAAATGCCAGCGTTGGTTTGAGAAATTTCGCGAGGGAAATTTTTCGTTAGATGACAAGAGTGGTCGAGGCTGTGTGTCCAATTTTGATCAAGAAGCTCTTCAAGCTCTTTTGGTGCAAAACCCTCAAATTACCCAACAAGAGCTTGTGACAACTTTAAATTGTTCACAAAAAACAATTTCCAATCAATTGCGTGCACTTGGCAAAGTCCAAAAGTTTGGAAAATGGGTTCCTCATGAGTTGACCAACAACAACCATAATCAAAGAGTCACAATTTGCAGTTCGCTCCTCTCTTGTCAAAACCGTTTGCCATTTTTAGAGAAAATTGTTACCGGAGATGAACAATGGGTGCTGTATGTTAATTTGAAAAGGCGGCCTCAATGGTTGGACAAAACTGAGGCTTCGCAGCCCATGCCAAAACCTGACTTGCATGTGAAAAAAGTGATGTTGTGTGTTTGGTGGAATTTTAAAGGAATTCTTCATTATGAACTTTTACCATCTAACCAAACCATTCCAAGTGCAGTGTATAGTGCCCAATTGGAAAGGTTAGCCCAAGCTTTAAGAGAAAAAGAACCCGCGCTGATTAATCGGAAGGGCGTAATTCTTCACCACGATAACGCACGACCGCATACTGCAAGAATCACTGCTGAAAAACTGCGCCAGTTGGAATGGGAAGTTCTCCCTCAACCTGCATATTCTCCTGATATTGCCCCTTCCGATTACCATTTGTTTCGTTCTTTGCAAAACTTTCTTCTTGGAAAAAAATTTAATAATGAAGAATGCCTCAAAAGTGCATTGACCGAATTTTTTGCATCAAAATCACAAGAATTTTACAGCAGAGGGATTAAAATGCTTCCTGAGCATTGGGCACAAGTAGTAGAAAACAACGGCAACTATATTGTTGATTAAATTTTGTTGTATTGTTTAAATAAATTCAATTTAAAAAAGTATTAGAAAACGACATTATTACTAGACCTAATAGATACTTTTTGAGAGAAGACAGAAGGAAGGCCAAGAGACATATGAAAACATGCTCAAAATCACTATCTCAGAGATGCAAATCAAAACTACAATGTGGTACCATCTCACACCTGTCTGAATGGTTATCATTAACAAATCAATGAAACAACAAGGGATGGTAAGGATGTGGAGAAAAAGGAACCTCGTACACTGCTTGTGGGAATGCAAACTGGTGTAGTCAGTGTGGCGTTTCCTCAAAAAACTAAAAATGGAACTCCCATTTGACCCAATGATCCCACTTATAGGAATATATCCCAAGAAACTAGAGACATAAATCAGAAGGATATATGCACCCCTATGATCATAGCAGCACAATTCACCATAGCTAAGATTTGAAAACAGCCTTAGTGTCCATCAGAAGATGAGTGGATTAAAAAACTATGGTACATCTACACCACATGTGTCAAACACAAGGCCTGCGGGCCAAATCCGTCCCGCCAGGCCTTGCAATGTGGCCCGCACCGCGCTGTCATCACTGCATTCCGCTGCGTTTCCATCACAATGACAGTTTATGACTGTTCAGTAAAC